GGGTCTGAACTCAGAGTCTCGAACTCAAGTTTCCACTTTGAGTTTGTTGTTACAAAAATGACTGTCTTGGAGGCCAACGTAGGGAATTTCTATCTAAGATGTACAAGTATTTTAATTGGTGGAGGAAAGACAGAATCTTCCCCCCTGAAAGGATATTCCTTTTTCCCTCGTGAATTTATCTTGACACCACTGACAAACCAAATTTCCATAATGTTAAGGGTTGATTCCTGGACTCTACTTCTATTTCATGGATTTGTCTATATATATGTATCCCATACACAATGGTCTTAATAATTTACTTAGGATCAATTTTAAATTGGGAAAACTATATTTCCTCCAAATTTTATTCTTTCCCTTCAGGACTGTCTTTCACATAAATTTAGAATTTCTCTCAATTCTTTCTTTCTTTTTTTTTTTTTTTGATGTGGAGTCTATCTGTGGCCAGGCTGTAGTGCAATTGGTTATGGATCCTTCGGGCTCACTGCAACCTCCACCTCCCGTGTTCAAGTGATTCTCCTGCTTCAGCCTCCCGAGTAGCTGGGATTACAGACGTGTGCCACCATGCCTGGCTAATTTTTGTATTTTAGTAGAGACAAGGCTTCACCATGTTGGCCAGGCTGGTTTCAAACTCCTGACCTCAGGTGATCCACCCGCCTCAGTCTCCCAAAGTGCTGGGATTACGGGCATGTGCCACTGTGGCCAACCATCATCAATTTCTGTAAAAGAAAACGCAGCTGGAATTTGGATGAAAACCAAATCATAGACTGCTGCCATCTTAACAACATTATGTCTTTCAAACCATGAATATAGGACATCTTTCCATTTAATTAAAAAATTTTTTTTTAACCATGTTTTGTAGTTTTCAATGTTCAAGTCTTACATGTCTTTTGTTAAATATATTCATAGGCATTTTCCTCTTTTTCATGCTATTGTAAATGAAATTGTTTTCTTAATTTCATTTTTAGATTGTCCACTGTTAGTATATAGAAATACAATTAATATTTGTTTATTGATCTTGTGTCCTGTAACCTTGTTAATCTCATTTATTAGTTCTAATACTTTTTGGGAGGTGACCTTTAGATTTCCTATATACAAGATCACGTCAACTACAAATAGAGATAGCTTTACTTCTTCCTTTCCAATCCACATTTCTTTTTTTTAATTGCCTCGGCTAGAATGTTGAGTGAAAGTGGTGTGTATGGACATCCTTGTCTTGTTACTGATCTGAGGGTTAGGTGCTCAGTCTTCTATCATTCAGTATGTTAGATACGAGTTTTTCACAGAGGCACTCTATCAAGTTGAGGATACTGTCGTCTATTCCTGTGTGTGTACTGAGTGTTTTCATTACAAAAGGATGTTGGATTTTGTCAAATGCCTTTTCCGTGTCTATTGAGATAAATGTGGTTTTCCCTATTAATGTTGTGTATTATATTGATTTCCACATGTCAAATCAGCCTCGTTTCCAGGTTATGTCCCCCTTCTCATGGTATGTAATCCTTTTTATATGTTGCTGGACTCAGTTTGCTTGTAATTTGTTGAAGGCTTTTGAGTCTCCACTCACAAGGGATATTGGCATGTAGTTTTCTTGTGAGGTCTTTGTCTGGTTTTGGTATTAGGATAATGCTGGTATCAAAGAATAAGTTAGCAAGAGGTCTGGGCTCCTCATTAACCTTGAGCTTCATGGCACCACGTTTACACTAAGATCCATTCCTTACTATGTCGACTGTTCCCATTTGCTGATATTTCTAACCTCAGTTTTGCTTCCTCACTTCGGCAGAGTTGCTCTTTATGATATTTTTATGCTATTAGCCCTGCTCTCACCTAGAACTTTTCATATCACCAAAGTTTCACGGCCATGATGTCCACTGAATGCACAGACCTGGTTCATCCCTATTCGCCTATGAAGAAGGATTAAATAAGAACTTTTCAAGTTTTAAAGTATGTGTTACTTACTTTCCTAGATTCACTTTTCTGCATTATTGGCAACACACTGTCTAAAGTTCTCAGGATTTGAGCATATTGCTAGGTATTTCTGTTCAAATCTCAATGTGAACTGTACTGTTTACAATATTCCCAGTGTATACTGTAAAACATTGCATGGTGTAATAATGGCTTCTACAGCGCCATACATAAGCTTGTCAGAAAAATTACTTGACAGCAGGCAGGGTAGATAGTGTTATTGGCAATCTTACAACTGAGAAATAGGTGAGGAAAGCAGAGCCTGGAGTGGTTAATTGCTAGGGAATGATAAACCTGAGAGCACTTGTCTCTATTCCTCTTCCTACATCACGTCTTTCCTAAGGAAAGATGAAAAATCTTAAAAATGTCAAGATGATAATGTTAAATCTCCTGTGCCATATTTATTGATGATTAAATACTACAAGCTCTGTTGGCTTTTTTTTTTTTTTTAAACTTGGCTTTTTCCTGCTGAGAAAATCAGTAAGATGAGAGTTGTAGATTAGTAGCAGTCAGCTGTGTAGGTATTTTTCATCTTAACAGTAGTGACTCAATAAAAAAAAAAAAAAAATTATTTTCTGTAAGTTCACCATAGGGAAGCAAGTGAACACGCAAAGGCATCCTTAGCAAGTTCATAATCTAGTAAAGTGTAGAACTTGGAAATCTCTCTACCTCAAATGCACGAAAAATGACTCAAATCTTTGCTCAAATCTATGACGTGTGGAAGTGTAAAGCCTCTTCCCTAGCGCCCTCCAGGATGTATGTATATTTCCTCTTCCCTAGCGCCCTCCAGGATGTATGTATATTTCCTCTTCCCTAGCGCCCTCCAGGATGTATGTATATTTCTGGGACTTCAGTTCTCAGAACCACCTTGGCCTCCAGCATCAAGTTAGCACCTTCTTCAAGAACACCTTCTTCAAGAACTACATAAACCCATCTGAGCATCTAGGAAGCCCTCTCGCCTACAGACAGATGTGGAGGGACTCCTGGAGCTTCACTCTCCTTGCCTGTTGCTCCTTCTATCTGGAAAATGCTCTTGGCTGCCTCTGTGCCGCTCACTGGTCTCATCCAGCCTCACACTCTTTGCATCTTGCTGGGGAGCTCTCTGCTACGTCTCTTCTCTTTCTCACTCCACCCCCATCTCAACTGCATGCAAAAGAAAAACAACAGCTACCTTCCCCTGGCCCAAGTATGATAGCTTTGCCTTCCAAAAACCTTGGGGGCAGGTTATATCCAGGTCCCTGGCTAGGAAGTACGGGTAGGGCTCACAGCTCACAGCTTACCTCCAAGTCTTTCAGAGGGCACGTTTTCCACACCAAGAATTTTGTTCTGGAGGAATTCAGTGCCAGCTATTAAGATGATTAAAAACTCCTTCAACTTATTATATATGTAAATCATAATTATACAAGGCAAAAAACGATATGTGATAGAGGTGTAATGAAGTGTTACGGGAGTCAAGGGAGGGGGTGTCCGATTTCTGTTTGGAAAGATCAGGGCAAGCTTAACAGAGGACACCAACAAATGAGTCTTGAAGAATACTGGTATGTGGATGTGTCGGTGGTAAAGAGAAGGTGGAAGAGAGAATTTATGCTTATGGAGATAAAATAGCTCACAGTTAATCTTAATACCAAACTGTTTAACAAACAGGGTTCCTAATGGGCAGAAGAGGAAGATACAGGGCAGACAGGATGACCAGGGCCACGAATGATAGACTGAATGTTTCCTTACAAGAACTTCAATGTGTAGGCCCTGGAAGTGGCATGATTTTATTTTGTTTCGTTTTTTAGTTTTAGAAGGAAAATTCTGGCTTATGACAGTAAGCTTCCATGGTGAGAAAGTGATTAAAGTCAAGGCCTTTATCAATTACTGAGCCTACTGCCATCACTCAAGTAAGTGCAGTCTACCTGAACCAAGGCAGTGTCTTTAAATATGAATCAGAGGGTACCAATTCCAACGCATTTCAGAAGTAGAACGGTCAGTTCTTGGTAACTCACTGGATAATGGGGGATAAGGGAGAGAGAGGAGTGAATGGTGTCCCCAGCAGCTGGGCCTGGATGGCCAGGATAACGTCATTAGCCAACCTGGAGTCCATAGGAAAAGTGCCAAGATAAAAGCTAATGATTAAAATTAATCTATATATAAACAATAAATTTATGTTTAAATGACAACAGAGTAGCACTTTCTTTTCATTTGCTAGACAAGTAATAATTTTAAAAAAATAGTAGAAACTAGGTAATAAGGAAGTATTTCCAGAAATAACTTGAATGGATTTTATAAAAGAAAGCTCATAAAATAAACTTAATGGTAATGGAATTTCATTAAATGTTATCCAATGTGTAATTCTAAAGGCCAGGTACTTAGTAGAGAAAATTAGACCAAAAAAAAAAAAAAAAAAAAAG